TAAGTCACCTACATATCTCATGTATATGTAACAATACCTCATGGGTATGCAATAGTACCTCATGTATATCTATCAATATCTCATGAATATGCAATAACACCTCATGAGCATGCAGTCGTGCCTCATGTATATGTAGTAATAGCTCATGAGTATGTAATAGTATCTCATGTATATGGAACAGGACTTCATGTATATGGAATAGAACCTTGTGTATGGAACAGTACCTCATATGTATGGAATAGCACTTCATGGATGTAAGACGCTTAGAATGGCATTCAGCACATGGCAAGGGCCCCACAAGTGGTAGTTGTTATTTTTCAGCTTCTCAAAAATGTCCAAGGTTTGCCGAAACCGGTTTGGCTCAGTGGATAGAGCGTTGGCCTGCGGACTGAAGGGTCCCAGGTTCGATTCCAGTCAAGGGCATGTACCTGGGTTGCGGGCACATCCCCAGTAGGAGATGTGCAGGAGGCAGCTGATCGATGTTTCTCTCTCATCGATGTTTCTAACTCTCTATCTCTCTCCCTTCCTCACTGTAAAAAATCAATAAAATATATTTTTAAAAAATATCCAAGGTTTGACAGCTAGTTAGACAAAAATACCAGGGTGATGGAATTGTCTTCTTCATGATGCGAAATGACCTGCCTTGAGGACTGGATTCATTACTTGCTTGGGTTAGCCTTCTGAGGAGGTCCCCATCCTTTCCTCAAACGAGTCACATTTCTTCCCGCGTTTGGCCTAGTGCTGAGTCAGCCCAGGCTTCCTGATAGTTTTCCAAATCTGGAGATGGAGTCTGTTTTTCTAAAGCCCCTCATGGTTGGGGTTGGGGAGAGAATGCTGACTCTCTGCTTTACTCACAGTGGCAGATGTGTAACATCTGGAGGCAGCTGGGCCCCAGCAGGGTGGGGACAACAAGGGCTATCAGTAGGTTTTGCAGAGTGGGGTGCTGCTGTTTCACTCTTCCTCAGTAATGAGGTGTCATGTTGCTCCAGAAAGAGAGAAAGAAGTGTACCAGCTTGGGGTTCAGGGAGAGCCATTACATGACCCCATCTTGACAGATAAAAAAACAGAGGCTCAAAGAGATTAAATGACTTGTTGGAGGACATAATGCAAGTTGGGGCAGACAGTCTCCTAACACTGAGTTCAACCATACTGACAGAAAGAAGTCAAAAAAGGGAAGTAAAAAACAATAAAGACGACCCCATAGCATACTTACTTGCTAGGGCCTGAACATAAAAGTCGGTGACCGCCCTGCAGTGAGGAATGACAGTGGTGCTTAGGGATGGCAGGTCATGCACATTGGTCAGTCTGGTGAAGGGTCTTGGGCAAGGTTGATGCTTGGATCTGGCAGTCTTCTTCCAAGACCCTGGAAGGAAGTGCTGGCATCCAGGGGTGCATTAGTCTAGGCCTATGAGAAATTCCCTGGTGGGTATTTCTAACCCAAAAGGCACCCAGAGAGCACTGAGATTAAGGGTGCCCTTGACCTCATGTGTTCAGTCTGTCCTTGCCAGCCCTGAGCCAGGCTTCTGGCTGAGCGGCGCCCTCCTTGTGGGAGCACACTGACCACCAGGGGGCAGCTCCTGCCTTGAGCGTGTGCCCCTTGGTGGCCAGTGAGCATCATAGCGACCTGTCATTCTGCCATTGGGCTGAAACTGGCTCTCCAACATCCCCCTAGGAGTTCCGGATTGCAAGAGGGCGTAGGCCAGGCTGAGGGACCCCACTGGTACACGATTGGGGCTGGGGAGGGATCGCAGGAGGGCTCCAGGGTGTGTCCAGCCCGTATTGCTCAGTCCTGATTGGCTGGACCCCAGCAACAAGCTTACCTACCAGTTGGAGCATCTGCCCCCTGGTGGGTAGTGCACATCATAGCAAGCAGTTGAGCAGCCTTAGCATATCATTAGCATATTATGCTTTGATTGGTTGAACGGACTACTGGACACTTAGCATATTAGGCTTTTATTATATAGGATTGTGTCACATTCATGCTACTATTGATTCTCTGTCTCTCTCTTATACATACACACACACAATTATGTCATATTCATACTACTAATTCTCCTTTCTCTCTCACACACACATCCACACACATGCGTGCACACATGCACATGCACACATAATGCATCACCTTTACCCAATGGGAGCTGCATTTTAATAGAGACCCTTCACAGCAGTGGGAAGTCTGAAGAGATCCATTTCTATGGGTGACTCCAGATCCCAGCAGGGTCATGCTGGGAGGCCAGGGAACCCTGTGGTTTCCCTCCTCACGTGATCAGGCTGCTCCTTCTGTGTGGGGGGGTGATGGGCACAAAGGTACTCTGGCCAGACCCTCGGCTGCCTTGTGCAGAGGGATGCAGTATGGGGGTATTTTCACAGCCAGGGCCCCCACCCTCTTTTGTTGCCTGTCCTGCTGCTTTGCCCACAGCGGGTGGCCAGGGACCTGTTGGGAACATGAAGCTTACCTGTGCTCTTCCTTTCTTTCCGTTTTCCCACATCTTTGACATAAGACCTGACTTACGAAGTAGTCTGGATGGGCAGGAGCAACAGAACCCTGTGGGGAAGTCCAGTCAGACCCTGACTTAGCAGGATTTATCCTTGGCTCCCTGTCCCACCTTCCTCCTCCCCCCATCGAGGTGTCAGCGCTCTTCTCCAAGAGGTCTTTAAAGGCAAATGGAGATAAATTAGTTGGTTGCTGTGTTTACCTATTAAACCAATGTAAGCACAGGTTGCTGGTCATCTCTGTAAAAAGTTAAGAGGTAAGGCCCTTGGGGACGACTATTACCACCACCCCCCGCCCCCGACAGCAGTGCTCCCTAGAGAAAACTAGATTGCACTCATCTCCATCTTAACTGAAAATACAATTTTCCAGGATCAAATGACTAATACACTTGTGGGATTTGTAAATTAAATTGCATCTTAAATATACTGTTTAAATATACTTCTTGGCAAATCCTTCTGTGAAACAATTGGAAGGTTGCCTTTGACAAAGAGAATTCCCATCCTCTGGCCTGAGCTGCCAGGACTGTGTGTTTTGGTTTGTTTTTTGTAGGTCAGGTTTGTGGCTAGTAAGGGCTACTGAAAAGATTTGTGTGTTTTTTAAAAGCACCACATTTATTTTCCAGTTTATAAAAGTAGAATATCCTAAATATAGTGAAAAGTATGAGGCAGAAATGAAAATCACCTATGATTGCACAATTGAGTGATGACTGCCACATTTCTATACGTGTGTGTGCACGCGCGTGCATGCGTGCACACGTGTCTGTCAATGTCTGTGTGAAAACAGAACTAGGTCTTCGTGTGAGAATTTGGGCAGCTGGTCTCGGCCTCTAGGCTGTGGCATGGTAAGAGGGGGTGGCTTTCCACACCTAGAAGGAGGTCAGGGTCAGACTTGTTGAGACATAAGCACCAGTTGAAAAGGGAAGGCAGGCAGGCTGGGGGCCGGGAGGCAGGGGCCAGGCAGACCGGCCTGTGTCATCCCTGTCTGAGCATCCCCGAGGATGCGCTCCGGGTCCACACCCTCCTGTTTGCTCGGAGGCTGCTTCCTCTAAGAGCCCCGCTGGACATGCACGACCGCTCTTGCCTCTCCCCGCTCAGTTTTACTGCCCTCCATCCCTGCCCTCTCTGGACTGACAAGACGACCTTGAATAGCCTTTGGCTCACACACGTGATCTCCACTGCAGGGCATCTTAGTTTCAAAGAGGTCCAGGAAGGGTGATGCCTTCCCCCCAGGATCGACACTGCTATGGTGGGATGAGTGGGGTTGGGGTATTAGAGGACACAGAGCCGCCCAGTGCATTTTAAGCTGTGCCATGGGGGCGACCTCCCAGGGCCGGAACTAGTGCTAGGAGCCTGGCAGGGCCCAGAGCCTGCCTGCCCTACCCTTGGAGAAGCCACAGGTAGCAGCTCTCTTCCGTGATGAGAGCCACTCGGAGGAGCACTTTGGTCCTGGCTGGAGGGAGACAGGGTGCCCCTCTGAGCAGCATGTGCACAGTGAGGCACTGGCTTCTCCCCTGCTCTCAGGGTTAGAACCCAGGCTCCACCACTTCAGTGCTGTGCTAACAGGAGCAGGTCACTTACACTCTCTATTCCTTAGTTTGCACCACCTGCAAAATGCAGTGAATAGCAGTGCCCTTCAAGCAGTGTCATTGTGGAGATGCAGTGAGTTACCACATGTAACACATGTAACATGCTTTGCTAGAGTAAGTCTTTGATAAGTACTAGCTATTGCCATCCATGTTTTACTCGACGCAGCTGCCTTAACAAAGGACCATGACTGGGTGACTTAAATAGCAGCGATCTCTCTCTCCCAGTTGTGGAGGCTAGAAGTCCGAGAACAAGATGCCAGCATGATTGGGTTCCTGCCTCGTAGGCGGCTACCATAGAAACTGTCTGCTTTCCTAGTGTTACACTCCCCTCTCCTCTGACCCTTGGGAAAAGGCTCTTCCTGTCCCAGCCTAGGTAAGAGGCAAGAGGCAAAACAGCCGGATTTAATAGGCAGCTACTTCTCTGAGCCAGGTGGCTGGGTGCAGAGGGAGGTCACACCACTGACTCCACAGGGCTCCGTGGGGTGGGCACTGTCACCCCCATGTACAGAGGGCCATGCCCACGGAGGCCCTGGCCAAGGGAACACTTGCTGTCCACGGTCACACTGCTCAGAAGTTGCAGTAAGATTTGACCCCTGAGCCTTCTGACCCCACACCCTGACCACACCTAGCTGCTATGGGAGGAGTGGATCAGCCACGCCTGGAGCCACTGGGGATTGGGACGGATACTCAGGGTGCAGCTGGTGTGGGAACCTGCACAGTCTGGGCCTTCCCGCCCCGTGTGGTCTCGCTGGAGCTGAGCACTGAGGCTCCTCAGACCCCCGAATCCCTCCACCAGTGAAGGTGGCCCCCACGTCCCCTCCCACTTTCAGGCACCCGAGGATGGAGCAGCTGTCCCATAGGAGGTCCCTTTCTAGCTGTGCTAACCCAGACTGTTCTCTTTCTGCTCTTTTCCTTCCCCAGCCCCTAAAGACAATGAAGAGCGCGTGTTCAGGGAGCGCATGCGGCCCAGGAAGCGGCAGGGGGCCGTCAGGCGCAGGGTCCACCAGGTCAACGGCCACAAGTTCATGGCCACCTACCTTCGGCAGCCCACCTACTGCTCCCACTGCAGGGATTTTATCTGGTAAGGCCCTCCCTCCTGGGATCTTCTAGTTATGCCTTCTCTGGGCCGGGACGTTGGGAGATTACAAACTGTAAAAAGCGCTGGTGTGCTTTATTTCTTCTTGGTTTAATTGCAGAAGACTTTTCTAAAAAGCTAAGTGAGTGTTTGGTGCTTGGGAGGACGAATGGAAAGACACCGTGGTTCCTGGTGACTTTGTGGTTAGGGTCATATCATGTATCACATTTAAGGAGTGAAGATTTTATAACCAACAATGTACCGCGATTGTGGTTTCTTTAAAAAGAGTCTTTATCCTTAGAGAGACAAACGGGATTCTTTACAAGTAAAATGATAAGAATCTTGGATTTGTTTTAAAAACTACTGTGGGAAGAGGGGGAAAGGGGCTCAGGGTAGAGAAGAAACAGGAGCAGCCATGCATTGATCACTGTTGGAGCTGGGTGATGGGCCCGTGAGGGTCCATCTCCTTACTTTTGTATATGTTTAAATTTCTCTATAATAAAGTTATAAAAACACTCAACTGCCAATATTGCTAATACAAAGCAATTCTTAGTAACTGTTGTAACACTGGTGCTGCTAGGATCCTGAGGTTTCAGAGTGAGGGAGTAGTGTTGGCTGAAGTACTCAGGGAAGGCTTCTTGGAGGAGGTGGCACTTCTCCTTTCATGATGACTAGGAGTTTGATAAGCAGAGCTAGGTAAGTAGTAGGCCTGTTTGGGAGGTGGAAAGGGATCAGGAGCACTGGCCTCGGGGATTGGCGGGAGACTTAGTGAGTACCTACCCCGTGCCAGATTCTCTCTCAGGCCCTGGAAATAATTAATTAAATCTTCCTGGTATCCTCTGAGCTATGTATTGTGAACCCCATTCCACTAACAACAATATCGAGGCTCAGAAATCAAAGCAAGACTAGCCTGCACTCCTCCAGCTGGGAAGTGTCAGAGGCCGGATCCCACCCCTGGTGAGCACAACGGAAAGCTCATGCTTTTCCTGAAGCCCCACCGGCCTTTCTGGCAACTTCTCTGAGCCTTTGAAGCTGACTGGAGCTTGCCAGCGTGCTTGGATCCGGTGGGGAAGAGTGAATGAGGCCAAATTGCAGCAGGAACCCAGCCGGATAGCATTTGAATTGCGCTCTGGAGGACGGCGTGTCCAGGAGTGGCTCCTCTCATCCTCGTGGTGTTCCAGAACCTGTCGCTGAGGGGGGCATGGAGATCTGAGGTGACACAGCTCCAAGAAGACTCAACCCAGCGGAGGCTGAAATAGCACCCCACTCCCACCCACAGACGGCCTCCTTCCCAGGACTGCCTGGGCCCTCCGAGCTCCGTTCTCTGTGTCATGTTTATGAATTGCATGTTCGGAGGGACGGAGGTCCTGAAAGCTGAGTCGTACAGATTCAGGTCTCCTCTGAGCCCATGGCCAACACACTGAGCTCCAGGTTTCCTGAGGTGTAGCCTGAATGCCTTCTGGCTCCCCCCGCCAGGCCAGGAGTTCCAGGGGGCTCCCTGACCAGTGGTTGTGGGTGCCCTGAGGTCAGGGCTCAGGCCAGGTTGATTGGCTTGTGTCCATGCTGACCCTAAACTGGCCCCAGGAGACACTCTTCTGGCCATGAAAGGAACTTCTAATGTTGGCCTTCACCCAAATGGTACACTGAACTCCCAGTCCTGGCCACAGACTAACCTGTAATCCCTGCCGGCTTCTGGAACACCAGGGAAGTGCCTCCAGGATTGCCCACAAGGACAGGCTCATGCGACTTATCGAGGCCCGCAGGGAGCACCGGAGTCTTGTGGTTTCTGGAGCACTGCTGGTCCCACGGGGACGGCTGTTTGTGTAGGAAACCAAGCCCGTTCACTGACCAAACCTTGCACCCCTCGCAAGCGCTAGGGCTGCCCTCTGTGGACTCTGAGGGAGTCGTTTTAGGGCCACCTGCAAGTGGGAGGGAGATTGCACTGCTAGGTACACCAAGTGTGCATGGTGCTTTGTGGGTGGTGACCAGCAGGCGGTGGCTTGGTGTACTTGGTGATGTTACTTACAGGGTTGTGTTCTTCTTTTCAGGGGTGTCATAGGAAAGCAGGGATACCAATGTCAAGGTAAGAGGTGCTGTATGAACTAAATCCCCGGGGGCCCATGGGCCCATCCCGATCACTAATGCTACTGATGTTCGTGGGAGGTGTGTGCTGGGTTTGATGGCACTGAGCTCTCCACAGTTTCCATTCCTGCGCTCTCTTGGGAAGCAGGACCCTGTTTACTTTGTTGCTGCCTGGCCATTGCTCCTCCATGCACATGTGGGAGTAGATGTATCTCTGGGGGCCCCAGGGGTCGAGCCGGTCTGAGAGTAGCACTCCCATCTTTCCTAGGGAGACACCTGCATCAGTTAGAGGCCCCTCGAAGGTCCCCCTGGGCACCACACCAGGTTCTCTGTATCCCATCAGCTCCCTTACTCTCTCACTCCCTGGGGACGCTCCCTCCCCTGCCTGTTTTATGCAGCATCCCCGATGGTCCTGGCTGATTCTCTTTTTTTTGCCTCTGCTCTGGAATCGTTAGCTCTTACACATTGAAGATGCACTCAAAGTTATTGAAGTTTCTGTTTGCAGTTAATTGACTACAAATGCAAGGTTAAGTGGTCCAGAATTGAAGGGTGGGCACGTGATGTGGTCATGTGGAGGGTTCTCTGTGGTTTGGTCTGGGAGGCCATTCCATCTCCCCACTGAGCCACTGGTTGGCTTGGGTCTCACACCTGGGGACTTGGGCAGGTCCTTTTGGGCATCGCTGTGTGTGCAAACAGTTACTGGCCTCTTCAGCCCCTCACTGCCCACATGCCCCATGGCACTGAAGACAGAGCTACAGACCACTTCTGTGGAGGTAGTCAGTTGAATGGAAATGTTTATGCTTGGCATGTAAAGACACAACCAGATCAGAAGCTTAAGAACTTCTGTACCACAAAACACACATTCTCCTGCTGCATTCCTCCTAACACACCAGCCAGCCTGATGCGGTCCTGAGATGAGCAAGACGCTGTCCTGTCTCTGATAGACGGACTGCGTGGAAGGGAAACGGTTCCCTGGCCTGGGCACATAGAAGCGAGAAACCTGACGGGTCCTCCTGGAACTGGAGAAAACCGCTGAAGCCCTTTGTATATAAATGGTCCGTTCTTCCCCAGAGCATGTGGGAAACTGGAATGGCTGGGATGGCGGAGGGCTTTGAAACCACTGCTCAAAGGGCTTCGGGTAGGGTGTTACGCTAAGACCCGGTGACAGAAGGGGCATGGCTCCCCTTATCCCTTCGCCAAAGCCCGATTAAATCATGGGGTGGAACCTTCCTTCCCCCACATGTCGCTCAGCCTCCCCATGTCTCGCTGTTTGCAGTGTGCACTTGCGTGGTCCACAAGCGATGCCATGAGCTCATCATCACGAAGTGTGCTGGATTAAAGAAACAGGAAACTCCCGACGAGGTAAATATTTGCAGCGTTGAAGTCCCGGGCTTTCTTCGCTGCCATCTCTGCCCTCTACCGCCTCCTCCGCGGTCCCCAAGTAAAGCCTTATCTCTACGAGATCCCATTGCCTTCTTCCTTGTGTTGATAAAAAAGGAGGGAGTTGCCCACCGCCTTCCGGCATGAGGCACAGCCTGCAGAATGCGCGTGGCCCAGAGTCGGATTTACGTCTGTGGAGACTGTGCCAAGAGCTGTGTGATCCCAGAGCTAAAGCCCATGAGGAAAACATGTATTCTTCTATGCCATTATCTCATGGGAACAGTGAAGCGGCTAACTGACGTGCCAGTGGCCCCACACGCTCATAAACAGTGAGGGAGAGAGTCAACATAGGAGCAGGAGCTTATCTTTATGAGGTGATGGGGGAATGGAGTGGGATTAGCAAACCCCAGAAACACGCAGGAGGCGGAAGTAGCCTCAGTAACAACAATAGCCGACATTCGCTGGGAACTGACCGTGCCCTGATGTAAGCACTTTAACATCTATCATCTGGCCCCATAACAGCCTCAATGTGATGGTTGTTATCATGTTCATTTACAACAAAGAGAATAGGAGCCAAGAGGTCAAATTAACTTGCCCCAAGGCGCACAGCTGGTGCGGGAAGGAGCCACAGTCAGACCCAGGAGTCTGCTCCAGAGCCTGAGCCCTTGACCACTGCACTATGTTGTCTCTTCATCTTACAAACAAGTGTCAGATTGACTATTAGGGAAGTTGCTGATGGTAAAGAAGCAAGAGAATTCAATAGCAAAGCTGGGTTTCTCCTAACTGACCGTTTGGGAGAAGACTGAATGTCAGTATACTATGGGGTTATCTATACTCATAGTAGTTGATTTCAAAGCCATGTTTTAATTCTCTGTGAAATAAATACTGCATCATCACAGGCCATTAGAATTGGGGGTCAGAGACAGCTTATAATCAGATGGATCTGCGATCTGGTTTCCCAAAGGAGTGACTCTCAGAGTCACACAGAGCGGCAGCAAACAGGTTGAAGGCATCAGGAGCAAAGGCCCTGGGGCAGGAGAGAGGCTTTCTTCACCTCCTTTCTCAGGGCAGCTTTCAGAGCCACACTAGGGCCTGCCACCTGCAATGACCATGCCTTGTGGAAAGTTCTGTAGAAGGTCCAGTGATTAGCTCTCCAGGCTGCACAGGAGCTGGGCCGTGACCCTGTTATTCAAAGACTTAGTGGGAGAACTGAAATCATACCACTGTGTGTCCTTGCTCTGGGGCCTCTTGCGGCAGGGGCTGCAGTGTAAAGGTAAGGAGCTCCGTGCCTGCCCTCGACCCCCTGCCCCTGCGGGCCCCTGTTGTCTCCTCTTTTTAAAAATCTTTGTTTGTTCTCATAGCCTCAAAAGCTAGTTCTAGGTTTGGTGGGAGGTCTGGGCAGAAGCTCTTGTCAAGCCCCGTTAACTACTGTGCCATTTTGTTAAGCATTAGCTGTGCAGACACCACACTGGCCAAGGGAACTCCGCCTCCACCCGGGACCGTGGAGAGGAAGGCGCAGCCTCACCTCTTAGGATAGTTAACAAGTGGGGGAGACAAGATGAGCCTATAAAAAAAGCATAGAAGTAATTTAAGGAAAAGATACATTGGAGCAGAAGGGAACAAATATTTTTGGCATTAGGCACTGAGATGAATGATAGATATTTTCCTGTCACAATCCGTTGTTCGGAGCCCACTCTTGGAAGGAGCCGTGCTAGAAGCTGTCACGTAAGACACTGTATTCATCCTTCATCAGCTCGTGATGGGGGTGCCATTTCCCATGTCCCTGGGGAGGGAGCTGCAGCTCAGAGACTAACTAACTAGTTCTTGTTACACAGCTTGTTAGCTCAAGTGGGGTTTGAATTATGATTGA